ACAGTCCCCGTGCTGACAAGCCTACTCGCCTATATAACACCAGAATTTTTGTAAGCATATTTGCCACGTTTTGCTTCAAGCAGACTTGGCGCCCAGTTAATCCGGTTAAAAATTGTAAACGTATTACCTGGTTCTTGACATGAATATGTCCGTCATTGATGTTTTGCTTGTGTGCGTGGAGGCAGCACATCTCGAGTCTCAATCAAAATTACTGTGCAGTTGCTTAAATATCCCCATGTTTTGAAAAAGAACACAGTGACGAATATTAATGTTTTGGGGGTCTCGTCATCAGGTTAGTACGTATCTAATCGTTAAAATAGGAGCAAAAATTTAAACACGCAGCGAAGATTAGTTAGTGAAATACAAAACATGGAGACAAGAACGATTGGTTGTTTGTACTCCCGATGTTGCATTGAGTTGGATGCTGTAACAACAGAGCTGTTGAGTGACTTGGACAGTTGATTCGTCTCCCACGACCAAAGCAGACTCATCGTTCGTACGAACTGGAGCTTGGTCGACTTAATGAAGAGAGTAGACGTGCTCACTTTTATCGCAGGTACGTATCCGATATTTTACGGTAGTATCAAACGGTTCCAAAATGGATGCTCTGCTGACCAACTTCAACCGAGCACATCTTTCTATTCAGTTCACTTCTGAAACTGAGTGACAACGCTTTTCACTTCCTGGACCTTAATTTAATCAGACGTCTAACGGATTCAATTAGGAGAACCGTCTACAGAAAGCCCACATGAACAGTACATAAAAATTCCTTAGTTTTGTGCCACCGAGGCGGAAACGAAGCCCGATTCACACTTTAACGCACCGAGCGAAACGTATTCGCTCTGCTGATGCACTGAATTATAAACTGCAGCACATTGATAACGTGCTTTGAGACAACGGTTACTCGGAGAGATATGTACCCGAGAATATGTCCGATCACCCTTTCCAACCGCCCATCACGACAGTTAAAAACAAGTCAATAAACTCGAGTTTGCCATTGGCGGACATGGTCAATCTCCACTTGTTTCGATCCTTACAACGCATTTTGCCGGCTGGAACTCTTTGCTCAACTTAACCCTCGAAGGTAAAATGACTGTCCTTACCCAGAATATGGTTGTACATTCTTTCCCCTGCTGTTGTTCAGTGGAGTATGTTTGGCGCACGACACGGCAGCTTTCTAAGAAAATACGCGAGCAAACCCCTTACCGGAATAACACTGACTTCAACAGTTCAGCCAGAAGCTCACTTGCGTCCTACCTACACCGGGCACGTAGTCATTCCAAATGAGTCATTTTAAATCATTCACTACGTATCAGACAGACTACTAGTATCTATCCAACTGCTTTGCTTGACTACAACCGAGGCAGTCGCCATACGCCCACGAAACCCGGTACTGTGCTGTCAAAAACGTTTCGTACGAACGCTGAGTCGGCCTTGGTCGCGTGGCACGAATCAACTGCTCAAGTCGCTCAACATCCCTCTTCACTGTCTCACAGCATCCAACTAGATGCGACATGACGGGCACAGACAACCATTCGTTCATGTCTCCATGGTCTGCATTTCACTAACCAATCTTTGCTGCGTTTAATTTTTGCTCCTATTTCAACCGGTAGATACGTAGTGACATGATGACGAGATCTCGGAAACAATAATGTTGTGCGGTTGATTTCATAATCTCCCCACAAAGCAGTGTGCCCACACCAAAATGTGAGAGAGCCTTCAGGCTTCCTCTATCCATCTACACTTTTCCTTGCCACATTCGTTTAGTACCAATATGCAACCTAGCATCCGGAGGTAATACTAAGTAGTTTGTGCTACTCAAACCGACAGTTTGCCCTTCCACCAGTAGCACTAAAACAGTGCTGTCAACTCCAGCCGCTTCGTGGGATGTACGGAAGTCAGAGGCATTCGAAGTTCGTGAGGATGAGGCGATGGTGCACGCCGGTTCTGATATGTGCAGACATGGACATTGATATAATTGCAACCACAAGGCACACGGAGCACACATTCGCACAGATTGGGCGACGCAGGAGAGAAGACCGGAGCGGAGCAACAACGTGCGTATATTGAAACCGAAACGAAGGGCACAAGTCCTGTGCGCTACAGAACTAAGTCAAAGTCACTCAGGGGGCGTGTACAGTGCTCGCTGTGGCTCGTCCATGGTACCTGCAATAGGGATGGAGAGGAACACACGTAAGGTCATATGTGAATCATGCAAGCAGATTCAATGGGGTTTCAATTGCGTTACAATTCACATCTTCAAAAAAGGTACGTGACTATTGAGCATGAATCACCGTGACATTAGTCTGGTAGCTGTAACATCGATAGATGCCTTCTGGTCCGTTCCTTTGAAGGTTGACTGAGCACGGGGAGAGATAAATGCATGGAAACCAAGCTGGCTTCCTTTCTGCAAGACGATACATCAATTTCATTTTCGCCCTCCGTCAGATTTTGGCACGGTGTCAATGCTTTCATCGCCATACACGGATGGTCTTACTTCACTTGAAAGCTGACTTTCTGTGAACCGTCAAGCACCACTGCAGTTTCTGTGGATCAACATTACCACCATAAATTCTTCACCCTTCAGTAAGCACTCTATGCAAACTCCCGCAGACGTCCGAAGATCTGCGGGATGCTCTTGCCTGTGGTGGTGTCAAGTGGTGTCTGGCAAGGCTGTTCCCTTTCATCTCTGCTCGTTATTGATAAGATAATGCCCGACTCACTCCCATCCTTTAATACCTTTGGAGACGAAATAAATCCAAGTTATTCGCTCATAGATACCAAGTTTCAAAAAAGTACGCGAAAGCGATAGAAGGGAGTCGTCAGCATTAGCCTACTTCCGCCTACTCGCCCTGCTGATACCGAATATGTGGACGACATGATGTAACGTGGGCAGTCAGTACGTCAGCTGCACTCAATGTTCACCAGAAGGTAGTGACGGCCCACGGCTGTACTGGAAATAACATATATGTAAATTGATATTATTGGATCTGTCGTGTACGATGTCTGGCAGTTTGACTGATTTATGTAAATACTGGTGTTGTAGAACCTTGCTTGTTGACCTTCGGCTCATGAGCTTTGTTTCAGCTTTCCATGCACGAGAATTGTCATTATCTCCTACCTTGGGAAATCACTTTCCTCCGGTGCTTCCAGAGCACATGGACTACGTATTTGGAGACCACACCAGGATAGTTACCTCACGGGCGGATCCACCACAAAAACCTTGGCTCTACATACGTGCACTTGTGCTAACTCTAACACGATGCTAACACGATGCTCAATCACATTGCGGATGCGGCTCAGACATGTAGCACTTGTAAACTGCTCTTTTTCATGCTCAGTATCATCTCCTTTCCCCCCATCATTATCAGTCACATCTCTGTACAAAAGTTTGTTTTACTGAAATACAACCGCAGCCGCCCGCTTGTTGGTTCCAACGTGACTTTGAGACTTTTGCTGAGTGACCGTTGTTGTGACCGCCGGTTGGCTTTATTTGACCGCTGCTAACACTAAACGTGAGCAAACATTTCAGCTACAAACACTGGACTAATATATTTACACTTGTGGATTTATATTTCGATCACCGGAGATCTGGAATACCAGGAAGATAGAACTAAGCTTGGTGTGGTGGTTCAACGGAATACGGAACTACGGAATATTCTATTTTGAACTGTGAGTCAAAATTTACTTGGATTTTCCTCCTCGTTACTTTGTATCTGCCTTACATTATTAATTTGCTCTGTTCACCAGAGACTCCATATGGCCGTTAACTACCATAGACACAACAACCTCTGTACATGCTCGCCACATTATTAGCACCGACCGGTACATGTAGGCCGTGGTACACCAGGGGCATCGTTCTTCAAAAATGAGGCTAGCGATATATATTGATTGATACATATTTAAGTACTGGTGATATGGAACTCTGCCTACCGTGCATCAGCTTAGGAGCATTCTTTGTGATCAGTCGATAAAAGCATGTTAACAGGTGCCCTCAAGTTTCAATGAGTGTCGATTCATGCACAATCTAAGGACGCACGGTTGGTCCAAAAAGGCCTAGCCAACTAGCTAATGTTTCCATCAACGGCGTCTCGGAGCCGAGTTGTGTAGTGGGATAGATGAGTCCGCGATTCGAACCCGATGTTTGTCACACGACTACTTTTCCAGTTCATCCGGCCAATGCATAAATGTCTTCGTTCCTGGAATAAATCCTCCACATTTTTGTGAACTAAATTCCCAATGACGCAACGATTATAGAAGCTCACGCTTGCTCACGCTTTCACCTACATACATGAATCGGCGGTGAACGAAGTCGTAGTTGCCACGGCCATCGTGCAACAAGCTTGTGATCTTTACACCCGATGCTGATGACGACGACAGTACGTGGTGTACGCCTGTTGGATTTGGTCTCTTTAGGCAGCGGAAGTTAGGCCTTTTCATGTACTTAAGAACGATTTCTCTTGACAATGTTTGTCAGTGCACCCGTAATAAGCAATTAGAACACGCTTGTCCAGCTGTGCGACACGATATCTAGCCCAAAAATGTGCCCAGCGCCAGAAACCGCATCATCAGGCTATGTTTCGCTGATGCCGAGCCATAGTTTTCCAAACAGGGTGCCGTTTTTATTGCCCAATTTGTATTGGCCAAAGTGGAGGTGACAAACGTTTGACGTGACGGAAGGGAACGGGGGTGATTCAAAGAAATAAGGGGGCTGTTGGTGCAACTCGTCTTCCAGGATAAGATCCACGGATTCACAGATCGGTACACTGGATTGAGACTTCTGCCCAAGTTTCCCGGGTCGCTTTTGTTCTTGTCGGTCAGTGGCTGTCGTTCACCTGAAGGGCACAAGTAAAAACGGTGTGGCACTGCTTTTTATGTTCTCAGCGCGGGGCAGTATGCTCGCCAGCGCGAAGACTAGCATAAATAAGTGTCTTATAGTGCTTTGAACTGGGTTCTAGAAGGAGCGCGAACAACCGTCGAAAGAAGGTCAATTCACGCACCTACTACCCGAAATGGGAAAAAATGTTGTCTAAGGAATGTGTGCTCTGAACTTGAAAATTTTCCCACTATATCCACGCCGTGTGTTTGTTGGTTCATCGGTAAAAACCTGTTTGCCAAGCCTTGTTCAAACAGGGCATAAGTAAGAATTAGGTCCCCTTGGAGGCGACGGTACTCCAGGCGAAAGAGATCGAGCATCACGAGACGCGTTCCGTAGTCCACAGATTTGAGGCCGGCAACCATTCTCGTGGCGGCTCGCAGGACACGCTCAATGATGGTTACGTCTTTTGTGAGTCCTGAGTAGACAACTTGGTTGGCGTATTCGTGGAGTGGTCTGACGAAGGCCCCATGGAGCATTTGGAAGTCCATGCGAGTAATACGGGAGAAAGCGCGTGCTCCCCGCTGTGCCCGTTTGAAGCCGCTGCGATATATAGCTGCTAATCGATGTCGACGTTCTTTCTGTTATCAGATTCTTTTTTAGATTGCACGAATGAGTGTCTGCAGGTTTTGGTACCTAGAAATGATAGTAGAAGACTGGTACTAAGTCCCCTTCCAATCGACTTTTATTCTTTTTTCATAGTGAGCGCGTTCCAACAGATCATGTTCGTACGACAACGGAGCCCTAGTGTCGAGTGCTGATGGTATGCTGTCGAGTAAAAGGACGACTCAACATTCTGGCCTGCTCGATTGCTGGAGGTTAGCCTAACTTGAGTGTGTAAGAAACAAGACTTATTTATCCCGCTTCTGACGTGCTCCGCACAGCAGATGAACATTCGGTGATCGGCATTTACGGCTTCCGTGCCCGGGTTTCTCTAACCTTACCTTTCGTGAGAGAAAAGGAGCACCGCTGCTCTCATGACTAGGGATATGTTGGTCGCCAGAAGGAAACCTCTTACTTTCTTCACGCTCGCATCGCGGAGAACAGTAAGATTTCGACCCAAATCATCTCCAAATACGGTAACTCGCTGTTTTTGTTCTCTTCGCTGGTTTTCGTCTTTCCTGGCCTAGTATGTTACGGCGTGCTCCATATAAGAAATTTTTCGCTGCGCGCCGATAGCCGTGAAGAGCTTCTGGCGTTTGACCATCGGTGCTTTCAGAGCACTGTTTTTGTCCAGTTTTAATATCGGGCCAATAAGGCTGGAATAGGCAAAACGGGCTCCGGAAGTAATAACAAAAACGGAACGCATGAGCTGATCACATTCAGTTGCTTGGTCACGCATTCTATTCGAGTCGACCTTTCAGTACCATCCCTCACAAATTCACGGAGGATGATCACGAGCCAGGGGGTCGAGCAGTGACGTGACGCCACTGTATGAATGCCGTTGTCATCACAGTCAACTCCGCTCATCAAAACTGTCTCCTAGGACGGGGAACTCGAGGCGGCGCATGTCAATATTTGGAGACATTGCTAGACGTGCCTTCATTGCCCAGATTCATCTTGCCTCCTTCTTGAGGAGAATATTACCGACACTTTTGGATACACGCTACTCCTTCCATCGCGTATCTTTCCAATCGTCCATATAGTTCGTCATTGAAATTGTAGCAACTGTAGCCACTGTAATGCCTAAACGTGGCCTAGTAACAACGACAATTACAACGAATAACTGGAGATCTGAGATGTCATTTGTTTTAGGCAACAAATACTAGCTCTCAGCAAGCGGTGTTCATTGAAGTTGGAACTTCCGCATACACAGTGTGCTTAAGTAACCGAATGCACAACCCTCTGAGAACAAAATACGTTCTCTATATTCTCAGACTTCCGGACGTGTGACTGACAACGGAAAGTTCTTCAAAAGCTTCCGTACACAAAGCAATGTCAGTCAGGGATACCCGCTCTCTTTATTTCTTTTTAACTTCGTGATCGATGAATTGATGATACGAACGCCGGAGGTTCTCCAGTACCCTGGTGTTCAAATAACCTGTGAAGAAAAGCTTGTCGAACTGGAGCAGACAGTCGACATCGTTCTCGTCTTCGAAGAGGAAGGCGCAGCTGTTTTTAGATAAACTGACCAAGGTCATCCCGTCCTTCGGTATGCACTTTGCACCCGCAAAGCGTAAGGTCATGCTTGTGGACGTGCAGTCACTGAGCACACCACGTACAATCCAGGGAGAGGTACTGGAAATTGTGGAGCGTTCTACATATCTTGGAAGTTATGTTAATTCTGGTTGTAGCGTGACAGATGAGGGAAATTCCTGAACCTGCAAGCCTCGGGTCGCGTATGCTGATTTGAGACACCTATGGCGTCAGAGTGATCTGCCCCTGAATCTCGAGGGACGTGTATATCAAGCTACAGTACGGGCTGTTTTGTTGCATGGTTGTGAGACTTGGCCTATTCGAGCAGCGGAACTGAGACGTCCTCAGGTGTTCGACAATCGTTGACCCAGAACCATACCTCGTGTGGTTTGGTGTCGGCGAATCCGTAATGAGGCAGCTAGAATTGCGTTTTGGGTTGTGCGACGGGTACTCCCATTGAAGAATGTGTCCAGCACCGGAAGCTGCATTAATTGGGACATGTGTTGCATATGCCGAACCATCGTTTACCGAAGAGAGTGCTGTCTTCCATGCCCACTTCAGATTGGCGTAATCAGAGAGGTGGTGTAGTAACGTTATTTTCCTCAGCTTAGTTCTCGGTCTGAGCCTCCCAAGCTAGCGTTCACGTCAAAACAACCACCGAAGGTGCACAAGGTCCAGTAACGCCCGAAACGAAATCAGGAACAGTCGTACAGCGCTTTGTATATATAGCGTAAGCGGCTATAACTTTCTGGAATTTCGGACTCGTTCTGGATGCTCCATTGGCAACCGGCATTTGGCCAATACTGGGTCATGATTGGCTGTTGGGTCCAGATGGTTGACCAATCAGATCTCGTCTTGATGCCGGACCGGCAAGCGTCGCGAATTCTGGGCCAACCTCGAGTGGACCAGGCTTCTCGGCCGTAGCAGCGCCTAAAGACGTGCCGTATGGTGGGATCCGCGTGGATTGCTCCCTAACAGGTGGCCAACCCTTAACTTGGCAGAGGAGAATGAAGGAGATCATGTTTGGGTGCTGTCGGTGCAACTCGCCTTCCGGGATAGGTACCGCATGATCCTCACGGCACCTAGTTGTAGACACTGCAGGATAAGGCTGCTTACGGATGTCAATAGCGTTCTTGTTGTCAGTTTCTATCCACATTGCCTTGAGTATTTGGAGTTGTGGGCAACTCGGAATGAGTGTGTTAATCTCACAGTGAGCACCTTTATGCGCCTGGTCTCAGAACCTGTGCGGAATTTGTGCAGAACTTCTGCACTAAGTTTCGTTTGGGTTGCCGCAGCAGGTTGAGTACTTTGAGAGGCATCAAAGCTTTATTTGTCTTGCAATAATAAATGACCACAAGAATCTGCATTTCTTGGTTGCTACGAAATGTAAACAAACCCTCCATCGAATAAAGTAGTTTATTTTTAGGTAACGACCTCCGCACCCGTATCAGGACTGGGTTCGGAAACTTGTTTCATTTTCACACTAGTTCCGCACCCGCTTGCAGGAATCTCCGGACCCTGTGCGAAAATGTCTGCACTCGGGTGCAGATAGGCTGTAGAAATTTGTGCACCAGTATTAACTGGGCTAGCACCTATTCCCTTCTCCGTCCACCGTTATTCTTTTCTTCACAATAAGGCTTTCAAATAAATCATGGTTGTACGGCGCTGTAGCATCGGTGTTGAACGCGAATGCCCTGAAGTCGATGATGATGATGGTGGTGGTGATGACGATGATGATGGTGATGATTGTGTGCACAGGGGCGTTGAGAAAAATGGCGGCGTCGTAAGGGATGGCCATTATCTGATATAGGCATGATCACGACTAAACCGGCCCGGGCAGGGAAGCACAGTCGGTTTCTTAGGCGAATATGGCGCAAAATCGAATTCGTAGTGTCTGAAGATGGCGAGAATAGAACAGAACAAGGGAGATCTAAACAAGAAGCTCCCTGCCTGACACATGACAAGGAAGGTGTGACGATGAAAGCCGAGGAACTGGAACTTCAGATCAGTTGAAGCAGTAGAGTTAGCATCATCCAGCCGGCAGATTCGGCGAGTTGCGGTCTGGACCGGGCAGCTGGTGTATCAAGGCCATGAGGGCCCAATGTCAGGATGTTACATAAACTTGTGCAGAGCTGCAAACGGTCATTCCTCGCTTGCTCCGCTGGCGTCCGGGTGCCCGCGACATGCAGAACACCACCAGCATGATTTCAACGGCGGCACGGCCAATTATGCCCAAACCGGGTACTTTTTTAACTGGATTGTTGTCGAGTAAGATGGTTTAATGTAATATAATGTCTTGTAGGTTCACAGGATGTATCCTCGGACGAATGCGACGTAATCAGATAGACGATGGAGTACTTCCTCGGCCGTGAGTGTCGTTCCTCTGCGGAATTCGAGTCAAGGCTGAGAGAATTCCAACGGGGGAACGGGCACGTGTTATGCCCGCTGACAGAGTTCATCGGTGGCTAAGTATGAACGGAAGGCCAGTTAAGTGCTTCCACCATCGGTCGGTTATGAGTTCTTGGTGTAAAATATGCACGTGCACGTTCTCACTGGAATGCAGATCAAAATGTTCATCGGTGAGTTGATATATTTGTGCATAATCATGCAAATAACTTATATTTAGGTACGCTGATTTCGGCTGCTGATCATTCATGCGTGTCGTTTACCACGTCGGTCGCCTTGCATTAATAATTAATTTTAATATGCAATACTCGCATGACCTGCATACGTCTGATTGGCAATTGTATGCTGCATGCCGACTTTTAATGCCCAGCAGGGGCGCGTTGCGTTTAGATTGCTGTGATGTTTTAAGCCATCTATGCAAATCCGAGACTATGTCCGGAAAAACTATGGAAAAAACTTGACCGGTAATAATGTACTAGTCCTGTGCGACAAAATGCGCCGCTTGGACTATCCTGTATGTGATCTGCAAGGTATCCAAGATGCGCTGCTCCCATTTGTACCCACGGCCCCGTCTGTTTGTAATGATGGCAGTGTGAATGCTCTTTCTTCTATTTCTGTCCGTCTGCGTGGTTTGTTTGCAAAGTGTGGCAATGTAATTCGAACAGATTCTACATATCAATGAAACAGAGGTGGTTACCATCTGTGGCATGTGGTAATCACCGATTGTATTGGAGATAGGCACAGTCTCTTTTACTCCTTTACCCAAAACGAGTCACAGCAGTGTTACGATGTGGCTGTTGAACATTTTATGCGAAAGATGCCTCCCGTGAATGTTGTCCGAACGATTGTTGTGGACAAGAATAAGTGGCAGCTGTGTAGCTTGGAGACAGCGATGCCTGACACTGCCGTAATTTTTATTCTTTTCACGTATTACAAAGCTTCAAGGCTA